CCTGCTGCGCCGCCCGCCGCTTCCGGCTCCCGGGCCGCCCGGAGGCTGCGCCCTCCGCGGCCCGCGCTCCTCACCTGGCGGCGGCCCCCTCCGCCGGACGCGCTGCCGCCGCCGCCGCCTGTCGCCGCCGCTGAGTGAGGACAGGTGAGGCTGCCGAACCCCCCACTCGCTCCCGGCCCGCCGCCGCCGCCGCCGGCCCTCCGTCCGCTGTTTATTAAACTTTTCTGTTTGGCTGCTCGGCCTGTGACGCGGCCTCCGGGGAGCGCTCGCGATTGGCTCGCCACGCGCGCTGACGCGGCAGTCCCAGCCCGCTGCCTAATTATGACCGGCCCGGGCGGGGCCGCGAGCTGGAGGCGGGGTGGGGGCGGGGCCGGAGCGCGGAGAGCGCGGCTATTGGTCGAGCCGTCGGAGGGGGCGTGGCACGGAGGCGCTGCTTTTCCCTCGGCCACGCCCCTTGCCTCCTGGAGGTCTGCGGGATAGGCTCTGGCTTCCTCTGTTGTCGCCGCAGGGGCGGAAGGGTCCGGTGCAGGCTTGGTGGGTCTGATGACGTAGCTCCGGTCTCTGCGGCCTCTCAGGTAGCGGCTGGTCTTGTGTGGAGCCGGTGTTCCACCTGCTTAGTGTGTGAGGCGGTCTTGAGGTTTTATTGCCCAGGCCCCTAGGAGACCTGATGGGCCAGGGTCTGAACTTTGCCCTTCGCTGAGCCAGGATTTACCGAGAGCGAGCGCTTGTGTAATGCGCGCACACGCGCCGTGCCTCGCGGAGCCCTCCCTGTACTTTCTCGCGGAAGCGTGGATTCCGGTCATCGCTGCCTCTGCACAGGTCGTGCGGGGTGTCGCGGAGGATGGGGCCCTGAGGGTAGGGGTCAAGCATAGTGTGGAGGGTGGGCTTCCTGAGATTACCCAACCCAAACAGGAGCGCCAAGGTCCCTCTCTTGGTTTGAAATTCCGTTATGGGTTTGCGCGTTTATGTTGGTGTTTATTTTGGTCACTATTCCCTTACCTATTTGCGTGAAGTTTCTGCCCTACTTTTACAGTAAGTAGGCGTTGATGTTTGCAGGATTGGGAGACAGCTGACCATGTGTGGTTTGGGCTGCTTTCTGTGGTCCTGTGGAATAAGGAGGGGATAGTTAGAAGGACACGGAGGTCAGGAAGAATTCTTTGAGGAAGAGGTGGCATTTGGAAAATTCTGACGACTTCTCGAAAATGAAAGGATGCGTTCCTGAAGAGTCCTTGGAAGAAACACACAGTGCTCTTGTGAGGTGACAAGTTTCTGGGGCAGGGCATTCTAAAATAAACCGCTAAAGCTAAGTGTTACCAGCCACAGTAGCCCAGGCCTTTATAATTCCAGCATTGGGAGGGAAAGGCAATATCTCTACGAGTTCGAGGTCAGCCTGCTGTACTTAAAAGTTCCAAGCCAGCCAGGGCTGCTTAGTGAAACCCAGTCCCAAATAAATATAAATAAAGCTAAGTACTATGTAAAATCAGAGCAGAGCAGAAGGCCCCCATTCAGTGCCTAAGGGTGTTCTAAGAGTGTTTTGAGAAGCATTAAGCTTACATTCAAATTTATATTTAGGGCTGGAGCAATGGCTCAGCAGTTAAGAGCACTTACTGCTCTTGCACAGGACCTAGGTTGGGTTCCCAGCATCCACACATTGGCTCCCAACTATCAGAGCACTCACACACTTGAAAACAAATACTTAAAGCCAGATGTGGAGACTCATGCCTTTAATCCCAGCACTAGGGAGGCAGAAGCAGGGGCATCTGTGTTCAAGGCCATTTGACATAGTGGGTTCCCAAACACGGCAACAACGCGCGCGCGCGCACACACACACACACACACACACACACACACACACACACTTAGAAATAGTGGGATAACCCACTAAGAGAATCTTGCCCAAACAGATGATCTTTAATGGTGGAGACAAGGCTCTAAGGTAGACTGGGGCCTGTTTTAGGTCAATTATGACAAGCCTAAACGGTCAAAGTGAGTAATTACTTTTAATGAGAAATGAAAACTTTTTATTTTTAGAACTGAGAAGGGAAAGAAAGGAAAGGGTAGATCCTAATAGCTGAAAGATGCTGCAAGTGGCAGGAGACATTTTGCAGCCTGGAATTCTTTTAGGGCTCACTAGTTTCTGGCCATTGGGTAGAAAAATTATATGAGAAGAGTGTAGAATTTTGTCTGGGGTTTAAATTGTTGCTCAGGCACTTTTTGACTTACAACATTGAGCCATATCTAATCCTTTTCAGTACTCAGTTTTCTGAAGGAAGCAAAGATTTCCCACCTTTATAGAGTTAATTCTAATGGAGAAGGAAGTAAACCTAATAGCAAACATCTGTATGTGGTGAATTGTAAGATGATGGGTGACCTAGATGGAGAAGGTAGCCATCTAAATGGAGGCTTGACAGCTAAGGCACCAAGACAGGCCCAAATAGGAAGAGGAAGTTTAAACAAAATTATAAGTGATGAGAGTGTCCTGGCAAGGATTCCAGTGTTACAGAGTTGATAAGCACCATTCTCAAGCCAGGAACATCAAAAAGCCTTATATTAGTGGGTCCTGTGATCTGGGAAGATGAGGAAGTTGTGAATCAGGTGGACCTGGGAGGTATTGTATATGCTGTGGCTCTTACTGTAAGTTAAATGGGCCAGCACAGGATTTTTAACAGAAACATAACATGGAACACCTTAACTTTTAAAGGACAATTCTATGTTGAGAGTAGTCCCAAAAACACATCAACGTTATGAGCAAGAACCTCTGTATGGAAGGTTGTCTGACTCCATGTAAATGGTGACTTAAGCTGGGTGGCAACAAGGATGGCCACTGGAAGAAACGAAATTCTAGATATATTTTCAAGGTAGAGCCAACAGTTTCCTTATAGGATGGTACATTTTCACTCTACCTGGAATGTGGAGTGAAGGAGAAATGAATCAAGTAAATCTGAGTTTTGGCTTGTGCAGTTGAGAAGTAGGTAGAGCAACAGAGAAGTCTTGCTATATTTTTTTTCCATAAATTGCATTCAGGATTACTGTAACCAAGTACCAGGGTAAGATCTATAGTTGGATATTTCATACTCAGGTTTACAGAAGAGTCAGAGAGATTCTTAAGTCATAATGCAGTAGTCAAATAAGTCATAATGTTAAGCCATGAGAGTGATAAAGAAAAGTGACTGTGGAGAAAAGCAAGAGGTAAGCCCTGGGCTTGGGTTTGAGAATTCACAGACAAGGGCAGAAAAAAGGTGAACACAAAGGAGAAAATAGTGAGTTAAACCATTAAGAGCACTAGCTCATTCAAGTACAGTTGGCCTAGCTGTTGGGTTTAGCAACATGGAGGCAGCATTAGGGTATATAGTTTAGTGCAAACAGAACCTGGTTGGGGTGGTAATAAAACCTTGTTAGGGTTGGAGGGATTTGATATGCTAGTGTCTACAAAAGACCTTCTTTAATTGGAAATGATGTGAGAAAAACATTTTTAATTATTAAAGCTAAATTTATGTACTTATTATGTGTGAAGATCAGAAAAGCAACTTGCTGGAATTGGTTCTCTTCTTCCACCATGTTGGTCCTGAGACTCAAACTGGCTTGGCAGCAAGGGCCTTTTTCTGATGAGCCTTCTCTCCTCTCTCTGGGCACATTTTTAGGGTTTTGTTTTGTTTTGTTTTTAATCTTAAGTGTGTTTTCATTCCAGGACTTGTCAGGCTGGTAATTGAATTGACACTGACATCTAATACAGTTGTTATCGTGCGTATTTGTTATAAATTTCCAGAGACTGACTTTATATGACCATTCCAAATCTATTCTGAGACACTGAGCAATTACAGACTATGTAATTGTAACCACTGCTCCTTGTTGGGAGGGTTAAAAAAGACTGAATTATCCTTCTCCTGTGATGGTTGCATGACATGTGGCTTTCTTCCAACCTGTCATGGATGCTGAGATCCAACAATAGGAAGAGCACGCTCCTCTATGATTTGCACATAGAAAAGGAGACAGAAGTAGTGAGCAGTATAGATATACAACATAAAATCCTGACATACTAATAAACAACATCCCTGTAGCACCAAGCCCATGGTCAGTGCCCAGCTCACAACAGCCTCTTTCCATTATCCTTTCCTGCCCGTCGTCTTTCCAGGTCCAGAACAGTGCTCAGTATGTTCTCATCACAGCTGTTCCATTATCCACGTCTCAGTTTTCCTCCGCCTCCTGTTGTCCAAACTTTACCTCAATGGTGACAAATATTAATGTTAGAAACTCACCCTTTTTCATTTTAACTATTTTATTGAGATTCAATGCATATACAGTTCACTAGCTTAAAAGATATCATCTATCACTTTTTGACCCATTCATAATTGTATATCACCACAATCAATTTAGAAAGAGTCTATAACACACATACACACACACACTAACACAATCCCATGCACACACCCTCGTGCAACCAAAAAGAGAAATTGTGTGCCTGTTAGGAGTCATTTCTTATTATGATCTAAAGATAAAATATCCCCCCAAAGGCTCATAAACTGAGACCTAGGTCCCCATCTAGTAACTGTTTTGGGAGGTTCTGGAATCTTTAGGTGAAGGGACCCAGCTGGAAGAGGTAGGAGGTCCCTGAGGGTCCCATGCCCTCTATTCCCCTTCATGTGGTTCTCTGTTTTGTGTCCACACTAAGGTTGAAGCTCCTCCGTATGTTCCCACCACCACATAATTTGGTTCTAGTTCACAGGGTCCGGACATCAGGAACTGAGCCGTCAGAAACTATGACTCAAATTAAGTTCTTTTTTTTTTTCTTAAGCTCTTTATGTCATGTGTTTTGACCATAACAACTAAAAGTAATACAATCTTCTTTCTTTCCAAATATTTCCCACATTCCATCCCTAGGCAACTACTAAACTACTTTCTGTCATTACATGTTTGCTTTTCTGGATATTTCAGAAACAAAGAATCATAACATATGTAGCTGCTTTCATCCATGATGTTTACAAGGTCCATTCATGCTTTACATCAGTATTGAATGTCCTTCTTAGTGCTGAGTAATATTCCATTGCATTGATATCCCATGTTTTATTTATCCATTAGTTAGTATATGGACATTTGAATTGCTTTTTTCCATTTTGGGATCAAAATAAATAGTGTTATTTCAAATATTCATGTCTAAGTTTTAATGGGAACATATATATAGCATATCCTCCTTCTCTTTCTCTTTGAGACAGGGTTTCTCTGTTGTAGTCCTGGCTGTCCTGGAACTTGCTCTGTAGACCAGGCTGGCCTCAGACTCAGAGATCTACCTGTCTCTGCTTCCAATTTACCACTACTATGTCACTAGGGGTTAGGGATCTGTTTTAATTGCTTATCTGATCTTAATTTAATTTTGGTAAGTGATGTATGTCTAGAAAATTATCCATTTCTTTTATATTTCCCAATTTGGTGGAATATAGGTATGTCCATATGATTCTCTGGATTTCCTCAGTGTCGTTATGTCCCTCTTTTCATTTTTTATTTTGCTAATTTGGATATTCTCTGTCCACCTTTTAGTTAACTAAGATAAGGGTTTGTCAATCTTGATGATTTTTCTTAA